ACTACTACTACTACGACGACTACCAGAATTATTGCTACTACTGCTGCCACCATTGCTACTCATTGCGTTTGCTACTACCTGTACTGCTTTTTGCCTACTATCAATGCTGTCAGGTGCGATCGCGATCTCCTTGCATAAATGTCTAATCGTCGTCGAACCGACGTGCTCGGACCCAATCGCGGCCAGCGTAATGTCACCAGAGATACCTGTGGCCGTCCGGATTGCTGAACAGGCCCAAACCTGAATGTCATTGAGTTTTCTGCTTCACCAATTCCTTTACCACCCTCCATGTCGTGCTTCTTCTGTATGGAAACTGTTGCACACTCTCTGAATCCCGTAAGCCCTACAATCTAGAGGGGAAGGCTTTGGGCTGACAGGCGACATCGTACAGCCGGAATCTAGTGGCGCCAAGTAGTGCTTTACGGCGTAGGGTTGAGTGTCTACGAACTACAGACATCCCGACGAATCAGTGGTCAAGACTTTACTGGACATCTTGAGGGATGTGTCAGCCCCAAGAGCTGACATGACTGCCCAAAAAAAGGCGTCATGTCGCCTCCATCGCCAAAGCCCAGCAGGCTGCCTTCACAAGCCCAATCTGTAGTATAGCTTCAAACCACAGCTCCGGCACTCGAGACTTCCAACCCCTGATCACGTTGTGAAGCCTTATGAAAAGCTGTATACGAGGCCAAGAAACCAAACCCTCGGAGCGCCGAGGCTCCAAAGCCAGCTCCTTCACCTGCGCTGCTGCAGCGCGGCCTGGATGCCGGCAACGAGTCCAGTAGCATGAGCGGCGTCCTCGCAGACCTTGAGGCTAGTCCGGGACCCTTGTTATTGGTACAGCTAGACCTATCGCGAGTTGCTATACTTATTGAACTTTTCTTATGATGCTGTTGTTCTTACCGAGTTGTTGACTTGTTCCGTTGAATGGGTGATCTGGTCGTGTCAATGTCAGCTGCGATTAGGATCCGAATTGGGGCTCCAAGCCCACCTAGTCCGAAGGTCCGTCGGGGTTTCGGGTCTCTTGTTCTTGGTTCGCGGGTTTGGGGCCTCAGATTTGCGGGGTTTCCGAGTGTTTTTGGTGCATAGTTAACAGTCACTACATAGCAAGATGTGCTGATGATTTGGTTTCCTGGAGTACTTGAGACCCACAAGTCAGGCCCACACTCACTCGTTTCTTCCGGCCCCAGAGGTCCTGTGCGGATCGGTGAAGCACTTCGGCGCGAAGAGCTACAAGCTGCACTGCGACCAGCACCTTCAGAAGATCCGGGAGGTCTTCAAGGCAGCGAAGGAGTCTTCAGGAGTGTTTAGGTGTCAGGCCGCAAGGAGATGGGAACTGGGCGGGATGCCACAAAACGGAGACGAGAGTGCTACCGCTGAGAAGCCTTTGCCTTTCGGAGCCTGCTGCCTGCTCTTTTTCAAGCCGTCGGAGGGGTGAGTGCTCTGCGACCCACCCTGACAGGTGCCGACGCCGCAGGAGATCCTCTCGTCCAACAACATTGATCTAGACCAAGCCGAGCACCCGGGCCGACACCGAGGGAACCGCGAGCCCGGTTTGAGAGCTCTGCTTCACCTTGGGCTTGGGGTTTTCAGGTGTTCCATGATGTCGATGATAGAGTCCGTGGTGAAACTCTGTTCCTACACAAGAAGCACCCGCACCCAGCTGAAGACCCGGACCTTTCTGAAGCGGGACCGCGCTGCACAATCCCACACTCCAAGCCCAAAAGTCTTGGAAACCTCGAGGCTCGAGACCTTCAAGCTTCAACCCTGGCCATTTGGATCCGAAGCCTTGAAGGCCCCTGAAGCATCCAGAAGCGCTGACCCGGGTTCAGGCAAGGTACCGGCAAGAGCGGGGCCAAGATGCTCTTCAGCAGCGACAAGCAGAGCCTGAGCTGAGTTTGATTCTTTCCGGTTTCGAGGTGACGATGGTTCGAGTGGTGCTTTACTGTACTAGCAACATCGTTGATGTGTCCGCCTTTCCGTCGTAGGAGACGACTTGATGAGGACGAAGGATTTGCGGTCCAAGATTCGGCGGTAAAGTGACGGATCCAGGGTGCAGCGCATTTTGTGTTGCGGCGCTACCCAACACTGCGTCCCCAAGGTACATCATCAAGACAATGTCCTCGCGCGACATTAAAGCCCTCACGCCTGTGATCCATACGTGCCTCGGCGAAGGCTGAAAGGCCTGGTGAAGTGGCATTGTCATCAGCAGTCTGCGTGATCATATTGTCGTCATATGAGCCCCTCAAAAAGTATCAGTGGGCTTCGACGACTCTCGGAGCCCCGAAGCAATGGAAACGTGAGCAAATGACGGTCCCCGCCATGGTCTTGTGCAAGCATGGGCTTTTCTAAGCCGGCCCTTCCTTTCATGTGAGGGTTAAGACTTTGGCACCTGGCATCCAGACCCCAATGAGGTACACCATGCACATTCTCAACCATGCTAGCACTTCGTTGATGATGCGCTTCTACGCATTGATGGAGGACCACATTCGGATGTGCACAGCTGCCCCCTGCAACCCCAAGTCCCAAGCCCCTGAAACACTGAACCTCTGCACAGATTCCCATGTAGACAGGCAGAGACTCCCTAACTAGAGGAAGCATATGGAAAATGCCCCGAAGCACGAAAAAGCCAAAGCACGTGTCGGAAGCTTGAGCTATTCCGATGTCAGGGGCTGGACCATCTTCGGAAGTATCACTTGTGCTACCATTTCGATAAACCATTCCGTCTGGGTTACAGTCTTCAGGTTTCAATACAAGCTTCATGTTGTGGTCGCTGAAGGGAGAGGCGCTGACGCAGGCAGGTTTCGACAGGCCATTGCCTTGAGAGAGGCAGGTTCCTGTGGCCGTCGGAGGCTCATGGCCGTCAGATCCTTACCCGAAGGCGCGCTGTCAGGAGTGCTCTCGCGGAGGTTAAGGGGCTACCTGAGATGTACGGAAGGTTTATTGCTCGGTGACAAGCTTTGGCAGAAGGCCGCATGGCATGAATCGACACGCGATTTGCATCGTGCAGAGATGCGAGGATGGGTCGGGACAGTTCTGGATTATTGCCAACAATTGGCTTCCCGTGCCGCCCTCGGTTTGGGGGCCAGGGGTCTGTCGTAGCCCCAAGACTTCCCCAGATAGACACTCCACGGACTGTGAAATCCGAAAGCCTTGAGCCGTCAAATGCCGAAGCTTTGGATCCCAAAGCACAGCGTCCGCCGTGTCCGCGTGCAGCTCGTCGTCCTCGTCCTCGGCCCCAGGCTTTCTCCGTAGACCCCTCTCAAGCCTGACCAACTCCGAGACAGCTCGGCTTTTTGTGGCTGAACGCTTTCGGATGACCGGATGTTGCCATGCCTTTTCTTCAAAGTCCCGACATCTCCTTACACATCCCTGTGCAAGGAGTAGATCCCAAGCCCTTGGGCTGGTTGCTTGCACAGCTTGCATGACCACAGTTTGGGCTGCGAGGTTCAGAGTAAGAGTTCTACATCTGGCACTTGCCCCGTAAACACAGTTTTCGAGCCTGCCGTGGTGTGGAGTGACATTGACCCTAAGCCCGCATCCTGGCAAGTATCCCTCTGCCGAGAGGCATCAGCCGAGCCATGGGCGTCTAAGGACACAAGGGGGAATACGAATTATCTGAGGAATTTATTTTGTTTTTTTGTCGGGATTGTTTTTTGTTTTTATGCTTTTTGCTGTTGCTTTCTGTTGCTTTTGTTTTTTGCTTGTTGCTTTTTGTTTTCTCTTTTTACTTTTCGCGCCGCTTTTTGCTGCTTTCTTTGCTTTTTGCTTTATGGCTTTTCTTTACGCTCCGCTGTTTGTTGCTTTTTAATTTTTGTTTTCGTTGTCTGTTTTGTTGTGCTTCTCACTCTCTCTCTCTATA